TCATACTTTTGTATATTTATACAAAGTCAGCTTATTGCCCCCACAATCTGGGTCCTCATTTCACCTACCTTTGAAAGGATGGAAGGCTGAGTCAACCTTGAGCCTGGTGAGATTTGAACTTGCAGTAATTGCAAATAGCAGATATTAATCTGTTAATAACAGTGCTTTAGTTCACTGTACTACAGGCTCTTCCTGTAGATTGATGTTCCTTCTGGCTGACAAGGCTTTCCAGGAGGTGATATGTTGTTCTGTTTTAGTGATGGTAAATTCTTTGAGAGAGCTATTGTATTCTATTGTTTTTGTGTTTTTAACTTTGTATGCTGCTCAGAGTTGAGTATGTGAGGTGAGTGGCTATATAAATTTTCCTGACAGTTCAAAGGAATAATTATTCCATCAAAAGCAATTACATCCTCCTCCTACAATGACTCCAAACTGAACTTCACTTCCTGGGAAGCCTTTGCCAGCCAGGTGGGGCCTGGGTCTCATAAGCAGGTAGACATGCTCTTACTCATGAGGACTCTGTCCACTTTCTCAGGTCCAACAGATCCAAGCTCCTTCCAAATAACATAGCTGGACTGCATTTGAACTTGTATCAAGGCTGGTATCTAACTGGGAACAAATCCAAGCAACTTTATCCAACAGATGCTCTGCAAAATCTTCCACATGGCCCTGTAGGAGCACTCCCATATAAACCATGCAAACTTAATCTCAGCTCTGAGATTGCCATTTATGATTGGAGAATAGGGCTTGGGGTACTCATAATCAGAGATGTAAATAGCAGAAAGTCTAGCTGTAGACTTTCCCTTACTGATGAACAATGGCCTGTCCTCCATATCCTTATCTGACACTTATACACTTATACAATTTTATACACTTATAAAATTTTTTACTACCGGTTCTGTGGGCGTGGCTTATATTGTGGGCGTGGTTTGATGGTCATGTGACAATTATTTAGAATTTAGCAGAGGTACTGGTTAAACTGCTTGTAGAGCTGTACCGGTCTACCCATTTATTCTTGGAGCATCCTGGTCTACCCATTTGTTTTTAAAGTGTCCCGGTCTACCCATTTGTTTTTCGAGCGTCCTGGTATACAAATTTGTTTTTCGAGTGGACTGGTCTACCACCACACTGCTTTTTAACACTGATCAGCTGTAGGGTGACCCTTTGAAGCCCCATGGCAAGAGTTTAAACAGTTTTTTTCCTTTCAGCCGATCAGCTGGGACTCGGGAGGCAGTGAAAAATTGGGGGCGGGGCCAAATAAAAGGTAAGAATAACGTGGGGGGGAGGGCCCAGCTCCCGAACAAAGAGAACCGGTTTGGTGACGTCATATCGTCACCGCTACCAGCTCGGCCGAATCGGGCCGAACCCACCACTGCACTTATACCATCTAATATGTGCTTTTTCACCAAAAAAAATCCTGCTCAAGATTAGATTCAAGAGTTTTTGCAAATATTTGCTTGTCATCACACTACAGGACACAAAAATTAACATTGCAGTGTAGGAAAGTGAGAGGTCTTGTCCCATAATCACTGCTGAAGGCTGCATCATCCACAAAGTAATCATTAATTGTTTAGGCAGAAATAGGTTTTCATGACTAACAAGTAAAGCTGCTTGTTAGACTGCTATAGACCTTCAGTTCTACATGATCAATAAGATATCTGGCATATAGTTTATAAAGAAAGAGGCGAAAGTAAGATGTATTTCATAATTCTCATGGCTGCTCTTTATCCAATCAATTTAATTTTTACTCCATATGAATTTAATTTTCACATAAACCCTTTTAATCAGCAGCTTGTTTTGAAAAACAGATGCAAAGGCCCCCTGCAGATCCTATTTACAACTATTAGCCATGTGTCTCACTAGAGCCCTGAAGGTGAGATTGGCTACTGGCATCAGCCAGGTAAAGTTAATCTTTATACAATCCCTTCCCTCTAAACTTCCCCAGAGCATTACTACCAGAGTTGAGAATCAGTTCAGTTAGTGGAGTCTTTTTGTTCTTTGAATGAAAAGAATCTTCTAGAGGCTTTTAGATGCTCATACATTAAGTCCATATACAATTCTTTTGCCCCGTACTCCCAAGAATTTGATGGTGAATCTTCCATTTCAAATTTCCTTCTCAGTCTGGATTTATTATTGTGATTAAAACAAAAAATGTCATTTACAGGTAAAGTGTTACTACGTGTAATTTTGTAAGCATTACCTAGGTCTGACCACCAGCGATGCAGTTCTAAGTTATCCAAATCGAGAATTTTGAGCCTAGTAGCATAAGGAATTCTATTGTGTATAGAAGAGTGCAAGACTTTTCTCGTGAAGTACTTCTGAACCCGTTTGATTGTAGTGATGTCAGATATATGGTGGGGATTCCAAACAATTGAACAATACTCTAAGATTGGTCTAGCATACGTTGTATAAGCTATAATTAGCAATACAATGTTTCCAGGAAAAAAAATCTTCGCAAAATTAAATTTACAACTCTTAATGCTTTTTTAGCAACCCTGTTACAGTGAACTTTGGAGCATAGATCTAGGTCCTTGAAAAGTGAGGGTCATCTGCTAGATCAATGCCACCCAGCTTATACTTGACATTCTGATTATGTTTACCAATATGTAAGACAGAGCATTTATTGATCAAAATTTGAAGTTGCCAAATAGATAACCATTCAGACACATAGTCGAGATCACTTTGCAAAACAACAGAATTATCTGTAGTATTGAATAATTTTATGTCATCAGCAAAAAGGACACAATTGCTTTTAAATTGATCACACAAATCATTGATATAGAGCAAGAAAAGCGTGGGACCTAAAACGCTGCCTTGTGGAACACCACTGTTAACTGATTTAAGGGCTTTCTCATTCATTCTACTATTAAATATTTTCCCATACAGTCTTATCTACATATCAGCTTCATTAGATTGGGAGTTTGGTGTCAGAAGCAATCTGGATGCACGATGGTAAGTATAAGGGTAGTTCTGAAGAATATTTGCTAAAATGTGTATGTAGCAGTAGGTAATTTTAGCAAAATATCTCTGAAGTTTACTTTTCAGCATCCATTTTAGTTTCTCTATGAGTAATACAATGCAAACACAATAAAACTGAATTTTTAAAGAGCTATTTAAGAATTCTTGTCTTACATCTTTACTTATATTACTTTGTAGTTTATGCTTATTTTAAAGTTATTCTGAAAAGTGGTAGCTGCCTCTCTGCTTTTACTTAAGGTGATCCAGGGATATTTAGATAGTACCTTCTATTTCTGATAAAAAGCATTTTTCTACGGTAGTCTTTGGGAAATTTCAAAACATCTATATGATTGGCTTATCACTGTTGACTCATCCTAGAGACTGTCATTTGATTTCTAGGGAGCCTGATTCTTGCTTGTTTAGGAAGTATGTAAGTCTCACCATGGAAGTGAGGAGTTGGCCTTTTCCTCAACAGATTTTTATCTTGTTTTCTGCTCTCTTGAAACAGTGAATGTTCATTCAATGTCCATTTTCCCTTATATTACCAGGTTATATAATAAACTTTTCTTTGTCATTTTTATGCCTCATTATTTCAAAGGACTGTAGAAAATCACAATGCATTGGCTTAAAACATAATTTTATTAATTAACATGCAGGTCCTTCCAAAATGACACCCTGAGCAGCTGGAGGTTATTTTCCCTGCTGATGAATAGCTGATTTTGCTGCCAAAGCAGTTCTTTGGTGGCACACTTCTCAAATTCGAACAGGAGCAACTAGCAACAACTCCAGATGACTCTAAGACAACTACAATTTACTTATCTGTGAAGAGGAATCCTGATGGCTGCAATTCACTGTAAGAATGGCCGGAGAGTCAGGTCTCCATCTTTTCCTATCTGCTGTTTGGATTTTCAAGTGTACCTTTGTTTTAATATCACTTTTTGAATTGGTTTTCTCTTGCTTCTAACTTACATTTTAAATGTTAAACATCTGTTTGAATGCTGAATTATCCATCACTCCCTTGCTGATTTATACATGTGCATTTTTACTACTTTTTTTTTTTGAGTAACAACACTTTTTCTTTTGCCGCATGGAAATTGACAGCATGAAGATTTCATCTTTTGTAGTGAAAGCAATCTGATTCTTATACTGTAGTAAAGAATTTTACCAGTGTTTATAACACATTTGCTGTTTTATTGTACTTTATTTCTGAATATTTCTTTGGTCCTTTTTTTTAAAGAGACAGGAATTTTTCCCTTTGTCTCTTCTATTCATTTTCTATAGTAGGAAACATAATCTCAGTTCCTCCTGTGGTTAGCTGGTTGTAGAACCAACTGTCCTTGAGAGGAATTGCCTATATTTTTCGATTACATTAAAAATGAAAATAATAAAAGCCTTAGAAAGAAGAATGCTTTTTAACTTACAAGCTCTCTTTGAAAATTTAGATAATAGGTTTAATGACGCAACAACAACAATTAACTAAAGAGGATACTCAGATACAGGCAACAGCAGAATCAAATTTGCAATGGGATAGGTTGCTGGCAGAATTGGAGGGCAAGGAATTTTGTTGGAAAATTACAGGTTTGGTGGAGAAGGATGAAAGGATCATGAATCCAAAACATTTAGAGATGACAGAATGGAACAGTGATAAATTGGACTTTTTGAAAAAAAAACATAGATTTTTTGAAAAACAAAATGTCAGTCATCCCAAGTTGGTCAATAGGAAAGAAGACTCTTACAGCCATAGCAGTAAAAGTATACTTTATTAAGGCCAAGAGGTTACAGAGTAGCAAAGCAAATCTAGCTTTTCATACCCAAACCAAGCAGTTAACTTTTTCCTTGGGATTCATCACCTTCCTTCATTATCCCTGAATGAGCAATCACTTTCAAATTAATTGTTTTTGTAACAGTCCCCAGATGCATGGGCTTCAAGGTGTTGCATTCCTGTCAGGAATAAATGCCTTGCCTCTGACCCAGGGCTAGAGGCAGGGGGGCTGGGCAAGCCAACCCCCAAGGTCCACCCTAGCCCAGTAACCCCTCCTTACCTTAGCCACGCCCAGAGGGTACTTAAGGGTCAGCCATGCGGTCCTGCAGCAGTTCCAGCCTTGTACCTGTAATGATGAGAAGCCATGTTAATAAATATTGTCTGATTTGATGAATACCTGCTTGTGGAGTTATTGGGCACGATCCTTGAACACATTCAACAATATGGTAGTAGAGGATGGTTTAACAGCCCAATCCTAATACTCCATAACATGCAAAGGACCACGGCAGACAGGGTGAATACCAGGGCATTCACCAAGAAGATGGCAGAATGGCCTGCCCAACCCAAAGCCACGCAAGGAGAGGCATCTGAAATGAGCGGCCTACTCCACCACACATGCACCCTGGCCAGATACGACGAGGGGTGGAAGGAACAGGAAAACCTGAAAGAGGAGGTACACGACCTAAAAGGAGAACTCCTGAAACTGATAGGCTCGTCACAAAGCAACACCGACCTCATCGCGGAACTCTGAAGCCTGATCAAAGGCTGCGAAGCAGCGAGTGAGGAAAATGAAGACGAACCCGACTACAGTGCCGAAGACGCGGTAAGAGAGGACTGCCCCCACCAGGAATCCACCGAAAAGGCCGAAGGAGACTTCGCGCCCTTTTTGCGGTGGCCATCTTGGGAGGTGACGTCACCAAAGATGGCCAACCAACCACCAATAGATTCCCGAGATTTAAATCTCATGGCGGGAATCGGGGTCTACTCCAAAGTAGCTGCCCAAAACTACCCCAACAAACAAGAAAGCCCAAAGCCAAAACCCACAGGCCCGCCTACCGAGCCTGAGGTCAACAAAGCCATCGAACTAATCACCGCGGCCCTAGGGGACAAAATGAAGTTGCCGGACACACACCCCGGTGCCAGGCCAAAGCGCAAAGGGGACCCTAACGCGAGGAGGGCCAGCACCGGTACCCACCCAGGGGAGCAGATCGCCACCGCGCAGACCCAGGGCTACCCAGGACTCCCAGGGAGCCCCCCCATAGGAACGGGGCACCGAAGGTGATGGGACTACTCACCAGACCAACGACCGGGACCAGATCCAGGGCCCACGGGGCCATCCGCAGGCAGGGGACGTCCATCGGCAGGCAGGGGACTCGGCCCGACACCCGGAGGCGACATCCACGCGAGGCCGGGCCATCCGGGACCATTCGCGGCCCCAACGAGACTTCCGACCTTCCCCGGCGATCCTTACCGCTTCCCGAGGCTCCAGACAGTGATCCGCGACGACTTCGACCAAGTAAGGCCGACCAAGGAAGAACCAAAGGCCCATCCGGAAGATTGGGGCCTTCACCCGGGAGCTGCAGAGACGAGCTCCTCACTCCATGGTGGCTGGGCAGGAATGAACCTCACGCATGCGCAATGCCTCCCTGCAAGAGAAACGGAGCAAGACAAAGAGCTATACCGACGCAAGCACATAGAAGCAAGTCAGTTCAGACTTGCCACAGTCGTTCCTCTGCCTTATTGCGAGTATCCTTACGTGAGGAACCATGGACAGCGACACAATGTAAGTAATTTAACTTACAATTCAGGGAATTTGCCAAGTGACTTTCCCAAACTAAGACTAGATGGGGAGAATTTCCTGGACTGGAACCAGCAGCTCCAAGTCACCCTACTGAAGGAAGACCTATTATCCCTAGTCACTGACCCCCCAGAAAAACCCTGGATTTTTGAACTAGATTGCACCCACCATAAAGCATACTGTATTGTTATTGCCAGCATTACCCCCAGCATTTATCCTAGCATTAGCCACCACCTGACTGCTCTAGAGGTAATACAGAGGATGCACAAACTATTCTACTGCCAAAGGGTAGCAAGCACCACTAGACTATCCAGGGAGTTCTATGCCACCAAACTCAAAGCAGGGACCCCAATGAGCGAGCATTTATTGTCTCTAAATGCCACCAGGGCCCAGCTGACCCAAAGGGGGGAGATCATAAGTGAGAGAACCATGATAAGCATTATTGTAAATTCCCTGGACCCCAGCTGGGACACCTTCATCACGCAGATAGACAACCTAGGGTCAGGGAAGCTCTCACTGGAATTACTAACAAGCAAGCTCATAGCTGAAGACAGCATCAGGAAAGACCGCTCACTAAGCCGCAGGGAGCAAAGACCCAGCAGAAGGACAGAGCCACAGAGTAGGAACCACAGTAACACAGAGTGCTACTTATGTGGGTCAAAAAACCACTACAAAAGGGACTGCCCTAGAAACACAGGGGACAGGGACAGGTCACACCGAAGGGACAGACCAGAACATAGGGCAAGATACACTAACAGACGCTCGCCAGAGGACAGACACAGGCGCAGAGACTCACCTAGCCCCAGGGACAGAAGAAATCACAGGGACAGCTCCAGGGAGAGCCAGACTGGGTCACTGTATGGACTAGGAGACCAAGAACAACACAAAGGCCAGGACAGGAAGGAAGGCACATGGCTGCTGGACTCAGGGGCCACAAACCACACCACATATGACTGTAACTTACTAACCTCATTCACAGAAGAAAATTTTATAATAAAAGTGGCTAACCAGAACAATGTGCAAGTAACAGGGAAAGGTAACACATACGTGCCAGGGGTAGGGGTAATACAGGGGGTGCTATTAGTGCCAAATATACCATATAACATCCTTGCCACACTAAAACTAAGCAAGGACAACAATGTCGAGGTGACATTCAAAGAAGGAAAGGCACAGGTAACTAGAGGGGGTAAAAGCATTGGGAAAACAGTGATCAGTGGGGACCTGCCATTCCTCCACCCAGTCAGGGACACGCAGCCCAAAGTAAACAACCACCGGAAGGTGAAACCCGACAACCCAGACAATACAAGTGAGGAAGTAGAGGGGGTTAGTCACACACACACCACTGGTAACTCAAGTGAGCAGGGGACACCCAGGAAAGAAAAACCAGCGATAGGAAAGCCAATGCATGACAACTGTGCACACCTGTTACACAGAAGACTAGGGAACATTAGCTTCCCTGTGGCGCAGAAAATGATGGAATGCTCCGAAGGTGTAAAAATAAAGAATTGTGAGAACTATCTCGAGTGTTCTATTTGTAAAAGCTCCAAATTAAAAACCAAACCCAGGCCCAAAAAGTCAGTGCGCACAACCAATTCAATCTTCCAACTCATGTATATGGACCTAGTGGGGCCACTAAGGCTCTCCATCAAATACAGGAAGAGGTACTTTCTGACCATAGTGGATGATTTCAGCCGCTATGGCTTCGTGTACACACTAAAACACAAGAACGAGGTATTCCAAAAATTTAAGGAATTCTATGCTAGGGTGGAGACACAACATAACACCAAGATCAGACAAATAATGACAGACTGGGGGTCTGAATTTTTATCAAGCGACTTCTCGCGATGGCTGAAAGCACGCGAGATAGTCCATTACATGACTTCTCCGTTCTCCGCCTTTCAAAATGGCGTTGCAGAATGAAAAAATGGAACACTGCAAACCATGATGAGGTGCGCACTAGAGGATGCCTGTTTAGGGCAGCACTTCTGGTCGGAAGCACTCATTTATTCGAACTACACTTTGAACAGGCTATGGTCCAGCGTACTGAATAAAACTCCATACGAGTTGATGTACCAATGGAAACCACAGGTCTCACACTTACATATATTCGGGGTCACAGCAGACGTGCACATCCCCAAGCAATTGAGGCATAAGGGAGATAGGGTATCCAGAAGGTTGAGGTTCATGGGGTATGAACCAGGGACGAAGGGATACAGATTCATAGACAGCAACAACAGGTTTGTGATATCACGAACAGCTGTCTTTCACGAAAATACCAACTGGTCCAAGATACACCTCAACGAGGTATCCCTTAGCAAGGACGGACCAGGGGATGGCCAAAGGGAAATAAGGCACATCACAGGAAAGAACACAGTGCAGGAAAAAGGCAAACCCAAGAGACAGGAAATACTAGTGAAGGAGTGGAAGGAGAACCACCCATGCATCAAAGTGGACTCACTCACAGAGAGAGAAGCTTGGTACATGCATGACACTGAGACACCACCTGCCAGGCCAATCAGGGCAAACAGGGGCAAAGCTCCAAAAAGGTTAGGGGACTACGTGTTATCCCTCCACACTAACCAATTAACCCCCAACACATATGAGGATGTACTGAAGTTACCAGATGGAGAAAGAGCAAAATGGGAACAAGCCATGGAAAGGAAAATGAACAGCCTGAGGGAACTAAACGTATACACCCCCTCTGAAGTCCCAGCAGGCAAAACGCCCATAGGCACCAGGTGGGTCTACAAGGTTAAAACACTAGAGGGAAACAAAGTCCTCTACAAGGCTAGACTGGTAGCACAAGGGTTCACCCAAAAATACCCTGATGATTACACTGAAACATACTCTCCCACAGTCAGGGCTGAGAGCGTAAAATGTGCGCTGGTAATTGCATCATTACTTGGGCTAGAAGTGCATCAATTCGATGTACAAACCGCTTACCTGCATGCTGAGCTCGATAAGGAGATATACGTGAGAGCGCCACCTAGCCAAAGCACCAGGAAGGGGGAAACCTGGGTCCTGAACAGAAGCTTATATGGACTCAAACAATCAGGGAAACGCTGGTAGGAATGCTTATCCAAGACACTGAAATCCATGGGGTTCTCAGCCACATCGGCCGACAACTGCTTCTTCACCAAGAAGTCAGACAACTCTCTCGAATATGTCCTGATATACGTGGACGACATACTGTATATCGGTGACCAATCTAGCAAATGCAGTGACTTCGCCAATGAGCTGGGGAAACACTTTTCACTGAAAATATTGGGTAAGGTAGATAAATACTTGGGGGTGCAAATTACAAAGACAGACAAAGGTTTCCAACTATCACAGAAAGACAAAATTTTGGAACTGATACATAAATGCAATATGACGAACGTCAAAGGGTGTGAAACGCCAATGCAACCAGATTTCATAAAGGACATGTACAATGAGGCTGAGGCGTTCAAAGACAACACATTATACAGATCCACCATAGGTTCCCTATTATACATTGCAAACTGGACAAGGCCCAACATCGCCCTACCAGTTAACTTGCTATCTCGACATGTAGGTAAACCCACCATATACCACTGGGAAGCCATCAAAAGGGTATTGAGATATCTAAAACATAGCGCTGATGCCTGCCTATCCCTAGAACCCGAAAATGCCACAGTACCCACACTCACATGCTACGCAGATGCTGACTGGGCTGGGGACGTGAAAAGTAGGAAGAGCACTTCAGGTTACGTATTTTTCCTCAACAACAGCCCAGTACATTGGTACACGGGCAAACAGGACCTGGTAGCTACATCCACAACAGAGGCCGAATACATATGTTTGTCCAAAGCTGCCAACAACCTGGTCTGGTTTGATGACCTGCTCGTGGACATATGGGCTGAACCCAACTACCCAATTACTATACATGAAGACAATAAAGCCGCTATGGAAATATCAAAGGCTGAAGCAGTTGGTCAAAGGTCGAGGCATATCGACATAAAATACAAGCATGTTAGGCAGTTCGCAAGCATAGGGTTCATAAGAATCATACATTGTGACACCGAAGAACAAACAGCGGACATTCTAACAAAACCATTGCAAAACAAACAGCACACGTATCTAACATCAAAATTGGGTGTCCACTTAAAAATGACACCTCAGACATGCACCGCCCAAGAACATCTCGGCCAGACATTTAGAGGGGTTTTTGTCAGGAATAAATGCCTTGCCTCTGACCCAGGGCTAGAGGCAGGGGGGCTGGGCAAGCCAACCCCCAAGGTCCACCCTAGCCCAGTAACCCCTCCTTATCTTAGCCACGCCCAGGGGGTACTTAAGGGTCAGCCATGCGGTCCTGCAGCAGTTCCAGCCTTGTACCTGTAATGATGAGAAGCCATGTTAATAAATATTGTCTGATTTGATGAATACCTGCTTGTGGAGTTATTGGGCACGATCCTTGAACACATTCAACAATTCCCTTGGGTGACCTTGGAACAGGCTTCAGCTTCCAAGGCACAGTAGGAAGATTTTCTCTTTCCTTTATTTTTTTCTCCCCTCACCCATTTGCCCACTCTGCTGCTCCCCCTCCCCCAGTTACTTATGACAGCCTGACATCTAGCTAAGCAAGGCCTGTACTGCAGGATGGCAGGTCTGACACAAATGCTGTGGAGATACTTACAACAGAGATCATGACTTTGCGGAATGAAATGCACTAGTTATAATTTTAAGGAAAAGTTTTATTATCAAGACTGAATCCTGGAGACAATGACTGTAATGGATAAGGCTGAAAAGTTTGAAGTCATTGCAAACTTTCTGCAGATTAAATATAATAACAGATTGTTAACAGAAGGTTTTGAAGTTAGTTTTTGTTGTTGAGCTTACCTGTTATCGCCTTTTTTTAAAACTGTAGTTAGATGGTAGGTCAAATTGCTTGAATAAATAGAGTTGTAGAAGCTTATATGGATCTATTTCACAAGAGAGGAAAACTACTAATGTTGAAATATATTTATCAGTATTCAACTAGGAGGGACAATACATGTGTATTTTTTCTTTTTTTCTTCTTTGTTTAATGAACTTTGTTTTTTGTCTCATTTAGTTTTGTTCTGTTCTTGGGGGGGTTGAGTTGTATTTTAATTTTTGAATTAATACATACATACATACATACATACATACATACATACATACATACATACATATGCATGTTCTTTCTAGCCAGGTTTTACCTACGTAAACTTAGTTGTTCTACAGCCCTAGGTTCTGTGAAATCTCATTCACAAGTTTCTGGGCCTTTTTTCTGCTGACAAACTGCAACTCTGTGTTGCTCTCTGGGAGACTCAGATAGCTATTTTTGCCTCTTAAGGCGTCTTCGGTGAGCCACACCCACTTCTCAGATATCCTCCCTGTAAAGGAGATATAAAGGAGATATAAAGGAGAAAAAAGATATATATATATATATATATCTTTTAGGTCTATTTTAGGTCTATGATATCTATTTAGGTCTCCCACCTAGCAGTTAGAGCTTGCTAGGTGTTAGAAAGGAAAAAAGCCTAGAACCGAGTAGATGTGATTCTACTGAGCTGGAGCTACAAAAAAACCTTGGCTACGTAGGGAAAACCTGGCTAGAAGAAAAACATATATATATATATATATACACACACACACATACACACACATATATACAGGCTCCACTGATTCCATTTAATGAAAATTCATCATCCTCAGATTTCTTTATCCCCAGTTATGCCCCATTTTGCAATATGTGTTCCTTTTTGGCTGGTCTATCCTCGGGAATCAGAGCCATAGTCATCAGACCAAATTTTTGAGTTACAGCTCTTTCAATCAGTGTTTCTCAACCTCAAGAACTTTAAGATGTGTAGCCTTCAACACCCAAAATTCTTCAGCCAACATATATGTTCTATAACACAAAAGATGCTTTGTAACACATTAGAGTAAATGAAGCATTTCTCTTAAAATTGCACTTTATTAGAATAAATCCATTTATAGAAATATAAAAGTGATGCTTGATGGCAGCTGAAATCTAGATGCAAGTTTCTGGCTGCTCTTGAAAAATCAATTCCAGAAGGCAATACATTTCTCTTGAATCAGCCTTCAGTCCCCAATGTACCATGTTTGCTTTGTGCTTGTAGCCTGGCCTAATGTTCTCACAAAGTTCATAATATTTGCCATTTTCAAACTGTAATTTTGGCTGTTATGTGCACATCAGACCTAGCTATTTTGCTTTGCTGGTTATTCAATACATTCAGCCAGAAGCAGCTTTCAAAGCAGCCACTAAAAGTTTGGAAAAGGCGTGGCCGCTTTAGCAATGTTAAGAGAAATGCTCATTTACATATGTTACAAAGCACCTTTTCAAATGTTCACAGGCATAGCCTCATTAACTACTATGGAAATACCTTAATTGTGCTATATACCCTAGCCAAGAGTTTATTTAAAAATCACTGATAGATACCCAAGACAAGATGGCAAAGAAACAAACAAATCCCCA